ATATATATATAATTAATAATAAATTTTCATTCCATCCAGCCTTGGATCCTTTTTCATTACCATTATTATTTTCTTTCCTTTAAATTTGGTTTGAAGTCATTTTAGGGGCTATTCTAGAACAATACAAAGATTAATATAAATTTTTCTGCAAGAAATAACGTGTTGTTACAGACAATGCAATAGTACAGTTGTGGAACAAAAATAGTATAGTAATAGAACAAATAATAAAAACCAACGATAGGAGTGAAACGAATCAAAAACTAAAATGCATGGCAAAACTATGGTGATAAACATTTCTAAATCAGGTTGCCTTTTGCTATACTTTGCTACATTTCAAAAATGAAAACCCATTTTTCTAATGTTCTGGATGACACTCACTTGGTTTCTCCCAAAGCCCCTTGGGGACCCGAGTTGCATTATTACTACTTGACATATAGAGTGGCCAAAACATTGTTCCATTTCTATTGCTTTAAATGAATCATAATCATGAATGTCTTTTGTCTTTTTTAATATTAATTGAGTTTAACAGTGATGTGCTGTTAAGCGTAAAAAAAAATTTAAACAATCAAACAAAAATTATAGTATTTTAATTTTTAAAATAAAGATTATAAAGTCAATACACTTATCATTTATATAGTGAATTATGATTAAATAATAGTGTAAACAGAAATTAACACACTTACCAATGAATTAATTGTTAAATAAAAATGTTTATTGATATTTTTTGAGAACGAACAAATATTTTTTTGAAATAGACTCGATAATTATTTGTTCGCAATACGATTTAAGTATTCTTAGTTAATACTTAATTCATAATACTAAAAAAAAAATTGTCATATATATATATATTATAAAGGGGATATAGGAGTATGTAACCATTTTTAGTCTCCATTTTTTAGTAGACCATTATACCTTTCAAATATAAAAAATTATATATTCTCTTGAATAACTATACATAACTTTTTAATATATTTATTGTGTATAATTATTAGAGGCAGAAAGTGTCTCAATCCCTCTAGCATATATAAAGGAAATACTCTTTTCGGTAACTACCTTGGTCTCCACTTTTTTGGACTATTATACCCTTTTATTTTAAAAAATTAGAAAAAAATATTTTTAATCAAATTTAAAAACTTGAAACTAATGAATCTATACTAATATATAAAAGGATTTCACTTTCAATAATTATTTTTAATTTTCATTTTTATATGGACCATTTTATCTTTTGTTTATTTTTAATAACTATCTTTTTTGTGAGTAACTTCTAATTTTTTTATTTATGTTTTCTTTTAATATAATGCAGACATGAAGTTTCTTTTTCCTGCTAGCATATATAAAGGGGAATGTTAATATATTCTCACCTATTTTTTAGTTAAAGTATCTTAGCAACTTATACCAAAATTTTTGGGACTAGAAAATCATTAATTTCTTTTAATTTTGTTAATTTGTATCAAAGATATTATAGTAATTTTATTTTATTTTAAAAGAAAATAAAACATTTTCTCTCTCTTATTAACTTCATTCTCCAACTCATTTTTTTTTATTAATTAATTTTTTATTTGTTCGGAGAGAGAGGGGAGACATGATGAGAGATAAGAGAGAAATGAGTTAAAGAAAAGATTTTACTATAATATCCTTTATACAAATTAACCAAATCAAAAGAAATGAATGATTTTTTTGTCCTAAAATTTTGGTATAGGTTGCTAACATACTCCAACTAAAAAATATGTGAGAGTATATTAGCATTTCTCATATATATATATATATAAGTATTTAGTGTCTAATTTAGAACAAATATATGCTATAATATTTTAAGTCAATTAATTTATAAAATTTAAATGTTATTTTATTTAATTAGTTAGTTTGGATGGCATTTAAAAAAAAAGATTTCAAACGAAATTATCTTATTTAATCGTGGTATTTAAAATGTCAGTTTTGATCGATAATTTAATATTATAAAATTATTTAAAAAAAAATGAGTTGGAATGAAGATGAAAGAATTTATGATTTGGTTGTACAGAAGATAAGTAATATTAATCGATTTGCAGGACATGTTTATCGGTGGTGGTGAAACAGCAGCTTCTACTGTGGAATGGACAATGTCAGAAATGATAAAGAACCCTAATGTGATGGAAAAAGCACAAGCTGAGGTTAGAAAGGTGTTTGGTAGCAAAGGGTACGTGGATGAGGCAGAATTGCACCAATTGGTATACCTAAAGTCTGTCATCAAAGAAACCATGAGGTTACACCCACCAGTGCCATTGTTAATTCCTAGAATCAATAGAGAGAGGTGCCAAATCAATGGATACGAGATACCAGCTAAGACTAGAGTCATTATCAATGCATGGGCACTTGGAAGGAACCCTAAGTATTGGGTTGATGCTGAGAGTTTTCAACCTGAGAGGTTTCTTAACAGTTCCATTGATTTTAAGGGTACCAACTTTGAGTTTATTCCGTTTGGTGCTGGTAGGAGGATCTGCCCTGGCATTACATTTGCCACACCTAACTTTGAGTTGACACTTTCTCGATTGCTTTACCATTTTGATTGGAAGCTTCCCAACAATATGAAGATTGAAGAACTTGACATGACTGAGTCATATGGGGCTACTGCAGTAAGAAAAAGTGACCTATGCTTGATTCCCATTGTTTATAGGCCTTAAAATATATTGCATTGCCGTAGTGAACAATGTCCTAAACTATTTAAGTTATTATATGTATGTTTATTTTATCTGATTCTCGACTTGAGATCCCTTCGACCTCGTTTCTTAGGAATTCCTCTATACCAAAAAAAATAAAATCTCCAATGACTTTATGCAGTTCATTTTCATATGGAGTAAATATATAAACTATTTTCTTTGTTTGATTATAATTTGTGGTTGTTCTCTTTGCAGTTTTGTTAATAATATAGTATTTTTGTGGTTTTATTAATATTAAGTTGCTATTAATTACTTGTATCAATATGTTTACGCTTTTGGGAATGCTATATTATTGGGGGGTGGAATACCTGCATCGGTTGAGGAATTTTGAGGAAAAATCTTCCACCATTTAGCGCCTGTTTGGGATTGTTTTTGCATTAATTAAGCAAATTCTGCTTCCAAAATTCATGTTAAAGGAGAAGTTACATATTGTGGATGGTTGGTTACGTGTTGATATAATTGATTTAAAAAATATTAATTTGCAGTAATAATTTTAAGTAATATGAGTTAAAAAAAGTAATGTGAATTTAGTTTGGATAACCAGAAATATGTACTTCATTTTCATATTGAATATTATTTAAAAACTTGTTAATTGACTTTAAATGTGTAATTATAAATCTAGGTAAAAAAAATTCTAAAATTAATTTTGTTTGACAAAGAAGTTGCTAATAATTGTTTTCAAGTGAATGTGAATTTTTACATTTTAAAATCAGTTATCTTAATAGTCAAACATGTAACAAATGTAATTTTGATAATTTTGGATATAATATGAAATTGATTTCAAACATATTTGATGTGGAATTAAACATACTCATGTTAGTTTCTATTTTTTCCATTTGGAATCCACCTTTTTTTTATATTTAAAAGCAGAATAAACACATGCTAAATTGACTCACATATAAACTCAGGGATAAAGTGTGTCTCTTGTACTAGAGAAGGGAGAGTTTGAGAAACTACGTCACACCTTGGAGAAATGAGTGTGTTTTGTAAAGGGAAGCTACGTACGGTCATGGTAGCATATAATTTTTATTTGTAATTTTAACATAATAGGTCTAGGACAATATATAATACCCTTATAAATTAGTACATAATTAGGGATAGATTAGGAATAGACAAATGAATTGGTAATTAAATTAGGGTATTATTTTAATTTAAATTATAATGAGGTAAAAATAAATAGAATAAGGCTTACATAAATTGGAATTAAACCATCTAGTATAAATTGAACACGGGATTTTATTAGCTTCTAAGGACGTTTAAGAAGACATTGATAAATAATATAATGAATAAACATCTTTGAATAGAATATTAACCGAGCAATCAAATTGATTTAAAAAATTTAAGTTGTGTTTTCCGAAAAAGGACAAAACTAAAATTTTCTTATTCTATGATAATTAAAAACAATGTTTATAGATTTTGAAAGTCACGGATCATATATAATAAATAATAATAATAATAACAACAATAATAATAAGTTAGTATTTGGATGATCACTTGTTTAAGATAATATTTTTCTTTACTTTTGGTTAAATTTTGTGTTTTGTAGTTAATAGCATGTAATAATATAACATATTTATTTTAAATTTTATTTTGTATTAATGTTAGTTGTTTGAGCTAACAATATAAGTAAAGGTGTTCATGCATCAAATTTTTGAAAAATTCAAATCAAATTGATCAGTTTTTAAAATTAGATTGGTTTAACGTTGCACAATTATCCAGCTTTTGTTCAAAATCAATTTTTTTAAAAATTGAATTGAACCGAACCAACTCACTTCGTAAAAATGGATTGGATAATTAAATTTCTTTTGTATAGTTGATTGATTCAAATTTTTTTAAAAACAGATCAGAATTTTCAATGTAAATCGAATCGACATGGACTGATTCGGATCAGTTTGAATTTTTTGCACACCCCTAAATATAATAAATCAATAAATTTATTTTAAAATTTAATTTGTAGTATTATTTATTTTATCAGTTGACAATATTTTATTTGCAACAAATAATCAATTATCAAATGATTTATATTTATAATTAAATATTTAACTTTTTAAAAAAATAAATAAATTTAATTATGTTTGACTTAATTAATCTAACTCAATCCAATCCGTTCATGATCAAGTTAGGTTGAATTTAAAAAAAAATACACAAATCTAACTCAATTCAATTCATAAAATTTTAATCAAATTGTATAATAGGTTCATCCAAATCCAACTCAACTTAATTTTCTTACACTATATATTAAAATGAGGGTATTTTTAAAAGTGTTTTAGTTAACATTTCTCGTATTATAATAGCCGTACATTCAAATTTGGAAATTTGGAAAACGTCCACTACGTTCTACATGGAAAATTGGAAAATGAAATAAAAAAATGTCAAATGAAAGATAAATAGATGCACAAAGCTCTTACCTTTTTCCAACAGTCGAATATTAGAAAAATAAATAAATAAATAAAAATATTGTGAATAATCACACATCAAAGAATAATATTATATTAGAATAAAACGAAGCAAAATAAAAAGAGAAATGCGAAAAGAAAAAAAAAATTAGAAACATTTTTTTTAAATACCTTTATACATGACTGAAAATTAAGTTCGAAAACAAAATTTGAAAACAATAGATGGAACAAATGGAAATGAAGAATCATTCACATAAAAATTATATTTTAGTACTAATTTCCTATATAGTTATTTTAAAAACGTAAGCTATTAGAATAAGTTTACATGTATATATATTTAGTATATTATTTATTAAAAAATTAAAAGTGCTTAATTTCTACATCATATCTTACTACTAGTTTTTTTAAATAAATAATTATTAAATAGTGATAATTCTTTAAAAAAGAATTGTCTAATGCATTTTTTCTTTGGATAGTTAAACACTACGTATACAAAGTAACAAAACATGACTTCACTTCATTCATTCAACATAATGCATGCGAGACCAATCAAATATATATATACATATAGCTCCGTCCTTGGAAAAAAAGGATTAGCCCCACAATAACCAGCATAAGAAAGGTTCTTTTACAGTCATTAGCATTCCGGAAAGTACTTTTACAGTCATTAGCATTCCGGAAAGTACTTTCCATAATAGTAAAATTATTGTTCATATAATTCCGGAAAGAACTTTTCGTAATAGTAACTTTAATATTATGGAAAGTACTTTCCGGAATTATGTAACAAAACATTTCTGGAAAATACTTTCCGGAATAAGAATTTAATATTATGAAAAGTATTTTCCGAAACATTTTTATATAATTCGGGAAAGAATTTTCCATAATAGTAAGAAGAAGAAGAAGAGGAGTGTCAGAAAGAGAAAGAAGAGGGGTGTGCGAGGTGCGGGAAAAAAAAAGAAGAAGAGGAGTGCCAGAAAGAGAAAGAAGAGGGGTGCACAATGTCAGCAGGTGATCTTGTAAGAGACAGACTCTTACTTGTTCTATGGAAAGACACACTAGTACAAAAATGACTTTTAAAATCGGAGTTTTAAAATCAGTCATAAGGTAGC